ACTGACTGGACACTCCAGTACATTAACACTGCACTGAGAGAGAGAGGGGTTCATACAGACACACTTACCCACATTCCTGTATCGTAGTGTTCTGAGTGGCAGTGGGAGAAACTGGGAGGGGTCTGCCGACTGGACGCCCAAGCACACAGCAGCCACAAGCAGAGAAATTGCTGGGAGCCGCATTTGGCCTGAGAGAGACGACAGCAGGACAGACAGAGACCGGACTTGTATTAGATACTGTGTGTCTCCCGGAGGTCAGGCACTGTAAATCCTGGAGTGGATCTGAGTGCTGTGAAGTGGGAGTCTTGGACTTTTCACAGTGCGTTGTTGAGACTGCATATACCCTACAACTTCACATACACTCAGTTCCTTTAGAGAAATGCGTATCGTTTCTACTGCGAGTCTCTCGTCTAGCTGTTTTCCATGTTTGCATTGAGACGCGAAATCGTCAAGAGAAGTAAATATTTTTAGGAGGTAGGATCTCGCCCTTCATATTCCTTCATATTCCTTCATGTACCTTCACATTTCAAAATCATTGCCGTCCAATGTTGTTTAGAAAAGTCTGAAACACAGTCCCCCCCGTACAGGATGCTCATAACAGTCAGTTTCTGCAGCACTGAACACAATACAACAAGCGCCCCACATTTCAAGTGAAAAACACCTGCGTTCATATTGTCCGAATACGATGACCAGGAATGACACAAGAGCAAGGAAGGACAGATCGGGGCTGAGGACAGGGTCATGAGGTGACAGAGAGGAGGAGACGGAGAGAGCTCTGCAGGACACTCACCTGAGAGGGAGGGAATGAGGAGTCTACGAAGGACTGTCTTCCCACGGCTGTGTCTCTGACTCTCTTTATCTCTGTCTCTGTCTCTGTCTCTGAATGTGTCTCTGACTCTAACTGTGCCTCTGACCCTGAATGTGTCTCCGTCTCTGATTGTGTCTCTGTCTCTTATTGTGTCTCTAATTGTGTCTCTGTCTCTGACTGTGCCTCTGACTCTGATTGTGTCTCTGACTCTGTGTCTCTGTCTCTGACTGTGTCTCTGTCTCTGACTGTGTTTCTGTCTCTAACTCTGACTGTGTCGCTGACTGGATTTCTGGCTGTGTCTCTGTCTCTGACTGTGTTTCTCTTTCTCAGTCTCTCTCTCTGTCTCTGTCTCTGTCTCTTACTGACTTGTACAGCCGGTCTCTCTCTCTTCTTCTGTCTCTGTCTCTGTCTGTCTCTGTCTCTTACTCTGTGTCTTTGTCTCTGTCTGTCTCTGTCTCTTACTGACTCGTACAGCAGGTCTCTCTCTCTTCTGTCTTCTGTCTCGCCTTCTGCCAGTTCTCAGAGCTCAGTCCACAGCTGCCCTGTGAGAAACCTCCATTTA